TTAAGCCGTGCATTAACCGCCTAGTATGTCTGACTGACTAGACGTCAAGCGTGCTTCTACTTCCTCGACGCGGTAACTAGGGAAGACATCTTTGACTTTCCGAAAACCGCTGGTTATCGGTACTTTTTTCTTATGTCTTTTCCAGGAGGAACACGTAACTTTTGGTGACGTCACTTACTGTGAGGACCAACCCTGGCAGTGTACCTATCTATGGCGCTCAGGTACCCATATACACGCCCAGGTACTTGACTCTGGGAACCTAAGTAGTTGCCTATGGGCTATACACGGCAAAGTCTAGGGTTCAGGTCACAGTATGAGGTTGTTAATATAGATCAGAAGTTTATAGAAGGCAGTTAAATGGTTAATTTATTGTGTAACCCAAATCTATCCTGTGGGCGGCAGCGGAAAAGGTTCCAGGGGCACATAATGGGCTCAGGAATTGAATCTCTAAATTTATTTTGCTAAGTTACAGTCTTGATAAGCAAATTATTTAATTCAAAGTTATCTACTGTCACAACTTTTAGCCTATTCTATAATATAATAATAATAATTTTTATTTAGGCAAAGGTACATACATAAAGAGAATTTACAAAGTTTGTTGGCTTTATAGATAGAGCTAGTACATACAATGCCTAAAGCCACTATTACGCAAAGCGTTTCGGGCAGATTCTCACCAATTTACTGAGTGTAGGTGTGCATACCAGTGAGTAGAACCTCTCCACCGCTGTCCAAGTTGGTAAATTCGGGTAATGTTTAACATGACTGCCTCAACTCTCACTCTTGAGGCGATATTAGTTGAATAAACCATGACGATACCAACAGAAATCACAATAGCGTGATAAATCACATGAACAAATCCACAAGAGCCGTGATGAGGGTTCGAACCCTCATCACGACCCTTGTGGATTTGTTCAACTATAGCAGATACTGTTGATTATTGTTATAATATATAACTAGCTCATCCTATAATTTGCTTAGCTGAACATTCTGGGGTTTAGTTCCTGAGCACATTATGTACTTCTGAAACCTTCCACTATCGCTCAAGGGGTCGTTATTAGGTCCACTGTAGCTTATATTATGGGTATGGAGCCCCACAACATACTAGACAGTAGCGACAAGTGATGTGTTGGAGACAGACTAAGTTTCAAAATGTAGATATGATAAGAGCTCAATTAGTTCAGGAACCTGTACAGCAGCTGATTAACAGTCGAGAGGCGGGTCCAGAGCCAAAGACGAACCTCCCACAAGCACAGTACTACTGTGTTTGTACTACCGAGTACAGTATGCGAGTAATATACCGCTCACAGGATGGGTATAGGGTGAACTATAGTATAATACATGAACAAATCTAAAAACGAAAATGTATCATTTCATCATCAAAATCTGTACGGACATCATCCATTGTACATTCTTGTGTATACTAGTTGAGTATATATATCAATCTTGATATATATATACTGTACATTTTTAGATATAGATAATCGGCGCAGCCGGGTCCCAAACGGAAGTTCTTGGATTCGATTATCTTGGTCGAAAATTAGCGTTTGAGCAAGTTTTCCCTTTACCTGATGCCTCTGTTCACCTAGTAGCAGATGGGAACCCGAGAATCAAATGCGAGTTGCACCCTGGAGGTCAGTAGTTGCCTTAGAAGGAAATAAATAACCCTAACAAGTTTTCTGGCTTAAACTATGGTAAACTAAAATAACTTTTAACAATGGTTATCTAACAAGGATTAATATTTGAAACGAAACATTGAGAGAGAAGAGGGGGTGTAGCTCAGTGGTAGAGCGTTCGCTTTGCATGTGAAAGGCCCCGGGTTCGATCCCCGGCACCTCCACAACCTTGGGGATGTAGCTCAGATGGTAGAGCGCTCGCTTAGCATGTGAGAGGTACGGGGATCGATACCCCGCATCTCCAGGTTTTTATACTACTACAGAACCATAACGTTACTCAATCATCACTTTAAACCCGCCAGTGTACAGCGGGAAAGAATCCTCAGGAATAATAATGATTTTCTACATGTCGTCGGCCAACATCTATACTGTTATTCCCTATATAGAATAGCATAGCAGCACGTAGCTGTGTACCAAAGGTAATTATAAGGAGAGAGCCCATATACCAAACCTTATTAAAACAAAAAAATCCAGCGCGCCAGCTACGCGTGGGGTGAGAGCGGTTATATACCGGTATAAACTGGACTCGGAAGAAATAACCAAAGCTACTCTGTCTTTTTGGGACGTATTTTATTATCTCAATACTCAATGAGTATTATTTCAATACTATCTATAAATCCATCAACTTTTGTATCTTACCTTGTATGTATGTACTTTACCTGAATAAATATTTGTATTTTGTATTTATTTACTTGAAACCGAACTACAAAATTTGTTAGAAGCGACGGTCCGTACTTATGGTTGTTGGCACTTTTAAATGAGCCAAAGAAAATTGGTTGGGTATTGCTCATTGTCTGCTCAATTTACCTGAGCATTTTCAACAAACCCAGCAGAAGAAAAACATGGCCAGACTTGTTTTACTATTAATTAATCATATTAATCCCAGAGTCGAGTGGTAACCAACGGATGATGGAACATTGTGCATATTATTTACTCGCAAAAGAATCTATAAACTCGAGTTTGGATAAAATTAGGTTAGTGATGTTACTCATCTTGCGCACACCGCATATAAAACACATCATTTTATCATTCATTTATCCATTACTCGGATCTCTCTCCCTCTTTCCCTCCCATTGGGCAAAACATGCTCAAGTAACACTGAATCAACACAATCGATGGTGGGTCGTTATCGACGTTAATGTTAATACTGTAATATGTAATAATTTTTCCCATGCTTGACTATGTAGGTTTCACGATATTTGGTCATTTTACAACTGGCGGAATATACCCAATGTATTGCAACCTGTAAGGATTCGTCACAGAAATCCACATATCCTAAATTTGCCTATGCTGCTGATTTTATTATTGTCAATACATGCCAATGGTATTATATCCAGTCTAAAGTTAAATGAACAAATCCACAAGGGCTGTGACGAGGGTTTGAACCTACGTCCGAGAGGATCCTAGACGCTGCCTTAATTACGACATGGTAAAAGAATTGCAACTGGGGAATCATCCTGATCTACCACGGCTCCTGCAGCCTCTCTGAGACTCAAACTGGGGTTTTACGCAAAGACGAAGGTTTGTAAGGGCGAAGAGGTATAACAGTCTATTGGCAGAGCTCGGGTGCATGGGAGAATTGCATAAAACCCTGGTTTGTCTCTCGGAGGCTGCAGGACCCGCAGTAGATCAGGACGATTTCCCGGTTGCAATTCTTTTACCATGTCGTAGCTCAATCGATTAAGGCAGCGTCTGGGATCCTCTCGGACGTAGGTTCGAACCCTTGTGGATTCGTTCATTTGATGCATCACACTATTGTGATTTCTGTGTGTAATGAAGTAAGGGCAAAGAGGTTGAACAGTCTATTGGCAGAGCTCGAGTGCACGGAGGAATTGCGTAAAACCCTGGTTTGTGTCTCGGAGAGGCTGCAGGACCCGTGGTAGATCAGGATGATTTCCCCGTTGCATTTCTTTTACCATGTAGCTCAGTCGATTAAGGCAGCGTCTGGGATCCTCTCGGACATAGGTTCGAACCCTCGTCACGGACCTTGTGGATTTGTTCATTTGACACCTCATGCTATTGTGATTTCTGTGTGTAGTCTAAAGTATCTTTGTGAGACCCTTCAGTGATACTGTTGTGATAACACAGGTGGGATGAGGTTGTTCCAGGATGTATTTATTTATTTTTGTGAGGGTTGGCTTCAGCTCTCGAACTTCACTTTCGCCTGCAGGATTGTACTCACCTGCTTCTATATGCAGAGGATTATCCATGGCTCCTTGGTGATTTATGTTCACAAGATGGGAAAGAAGGTGAAAAGGATGGGGGAAGAGAAATTAAATTACAAAGAAGGATCTTGTTTAGGTGTTTGGGGGGGGGGGGGGAGGAAGATATGGCTCCTGGTTCTTATACTGTAGTTTTATATGTTCAGCATAGTGAACTTGATAACCATTCAGAATCTCTCAGGAAGGCTGAATGATGATAGTGACAACACCTTGAATTACAGCAATTATGAAGAATTTGCAACATTTAAACTTATTATTGTTTTACAATTGAAAATTTACATATGGTGTAGGAATGAGAGATGTTTAAATGTGTTACAATAATAAAATCCTTGACTCAAATGCAAAATTTCCTTGGGCATTCATGACATAAGAGCAAGTGTTTTAGGAATGTTAGTACAGCCTAAGCAGGTGATGAGTCACAATAACGTGGCTAAAGTATGTTGACCAGACCACACACTAGAAGGTGAAGGGACGACGGCGTTTCGGTCTGTCCTGGACCATTCTCAAGTCGATTGCGAATCTCGCAATCGACTCGAGAATGGTCCAGGACGGACCGAAACGTCGTCGTCCCTTCAGCTTCTAGTGTGTGGTCTGGTTAACAGTACAGCCTATTCTTAACCTTTATTTCAATAATATTCAGTCTCACCAATGATACCTTGTTAATTTGGTTCTAGACTCTGCCATTACAGGGGCTACAAGGTCAATAAAAGATATGTACTGTAAAATGGTGTTAAGAAGGTCCCCAAGACATTATTCTTCTAAGAGGATTTTCCCCAGATATTGCATATGCACCAGAAGTACTGTACAATGAATTTTTTGGTTTCCAAAATATAAAATGGGATATCATGTTCCGTCATGTCTAAAGCAATTGATCCTATTTTTTCCAAAAGTTATTAAAATTAATTTTAACCCTTTTGTGCTTATTATGGTTCAGTTATTACAGCCTGTACCTGCAATCTCATAGGCATGAATGAATGCATAAAACGTACACACACACATTTACATAGATAAAAAAAATTAAGGAAAATAATATGTACAACATATGGTACAAGTTAGAATACAACTGCTGATGTTTTTTTTTTAAATGAATAGGAAATAAAATGCCTTTTAAGTAAATTACAGTATATTTGAGGGTGTTTCCAACAACAGTTTTTTTGTATTCATTCTATCATTCAAAATATACTCACATAAAATGAAATACTGACCAAGATAAACCGTAATTGGTCTACAGTTAAGTATAAACAAACTAACCATGAAGGATCAACACCAGCAGCAGTAATAAACAGTTTTGGTAAAATATTACAAACATTACAAGACGACATCCAACATGACTTCAGTGACCCCAAAATGCAATACAAAAACAGGAATTCCAAAATATAAAAATACACAATAAGAGATCTACAAACAGTAATGTAAAATTACAGGATATTTTTTTTTAAAGTAACAATTAAGAAATATGTTGCGATTTTCACGTTAAATGGACAAGTAACGATAAACATAATACAAACTTTTTTAATACCTTGACATAAAACATAAGACCAGAGTAATAAAAATATTTCATAACATGATTTTTTTTTTAGAAACAAATGACTCATGAAATTTATTACAGAAATAAAGAAATATTACCTACATCAAAAATTATGACGAAACAAATGTAGTAGCGTAGCCTACTCTGTCATCGTATCCATGGTGATATAGTGATGAAGGATAATGTTCAAGTTCTGTATCACATTTGTGTTAACTATATGTAACTCTACCGAGAATAACAAATGTGCAGAGTTCTTGGTGTGCGCGTGTAGGATATATTACTATATACTAAGCATACTGTCACTATCTACTTTACAACATTTGAAACCAAACTTTATAACAAACTTTATACCAAAGTGCTTTTAACTTAAGAGCTGTGTTCTTATTGTTTTTATGTCGTTACTTAAAATAGGTTGTTTATTATACATGGTACTTTAAAATAAAAATACAGGAATATCCTTTTGCACAAATCATTCCACTTGTCATGGCATTTTTATTCCAACTTGTCATTATTGGATTCTGTGGATACATTTCATTCTATTACATACACTGTATCCCACTTTCCTCAGATCATACTGGCTGTACATGTAACATATGTCCCATTCATATCACTTTGATTAAACTGTCACTTTCTTTAGTTACATTAGAAAAATAAAACAAAGCAATCAAAATTCCCTATATATAAAAAAAAGTTTTTCACATATCTGCATCATCAAACTGCCCCATATCCATGGCTTCCTCACCTTGTGTGTCTCCATTGGTCCCCTCATTACCTCCAACACTTCCATCAGGCACTACATGCTCCGAGCCTGCTGCTGAAAGTAATCAGGAGTCCAATAGATCACTGCTGTCATATGCTGTGATATTAACAATTATAAGAGTAGCAGCAACAAAATATGAAAAAACAGCAACATAAAAAGCTATGCTCAAGAGAGAAAAACAAAACAAAAATTGCGTAACTGTCAACTCGTCTCGACGATGCACATAAAAATGATCACAGACTTATTTAGTATAAAAATCGAAACCATGGTCTAGCGACATGCAGCCAGCCAGGATTGCAGCACCTCTTTGAGGTGGTGATATCTTGTGCAGCATGATGCTGCTGGACCATCAAATAACATTAAATCCCAGTACCAATAGGAGTACCGAGTTTTCCTACATATACAGTATACCACGTACAGTATACTGTATAAATAAATAGACCAAGATCTTAAGGTATTTGCCAGCAGGAGACACTCAAGGAATGGAAATACGCAGAAAGCTTGGTGGTGATGATAAGATTTATGCATGCAGCAAGATCAATGGTCAGAACAAATTAAGAAGTTCAGTCGGTAATGGAATAAAGAAACGTCTTGATTAAAATAAGACAGTGGAGAAACAGTGTTACTATGAGGAAAGAACCAACACAATATTAGCGTCCAGCAGACACACCAGTGGAGACGAGTTGTGTGTCAAGTGGGTGAGAGTTGATTATTTCCTTTTTGCGTGTCAATGAGATACATTACTGGATATTTTTCAACTTCACTCGGCCATGTTCTGTTTTCCATCCCAAACTTTACCCTCAATGTTCATGAATAATTCAGAACCAAATTTAAACAAACATTCTTTCACAGTAAATTAACAGTAATTTAATGTCAAGTTCTCCATTTCTTGTGAGAATGGAATACCGAACCTTGTCTGACATTTCAAATGTCTCTTAAGGGTTATAACAAAAATTAAATAAAAGCTTATCCAAAATCAAAATATACTTTTCCTCAACGCACTGTAGTCGTGAACAATTACAACTGACTCTCACCTCCTTCCATGTTGTCTTCAGAGGAACCAGGCATATGGTACCCGTTCTCACTCACTTCATACTCTCCTTCATCTTCGTCATCCTCTTCTCCAACATCTGAAAAACAACATCCAGGATTACCAGCGTGCAACAAAATCGGAAACTGCTTTCAAACTGGTGGGTTATTCCTCCATTACATTGCAGTTACCTTGCGATGACAGTGGGGCTTTGTGTCCGCACGGCCCGGTCCTCGACCAAATGTTGGTCATATGAAAATTCCAACCCACCCTCTTGAAATTATTGTACTTGTAGAAACTATTTGGTTGATGTGCAATTATCGACATCGATAATGCTGTGATATTATCAGTAGAGAAAATTAAAACAAATCCATAGGAGCTGTGATGAGGGTTTGAAGCTAGTGAAGGGTGAGGGTTAGCTAGCGCGCGTGTCTGGGAATGCCCAGCGCATAGGTTGAAACCCTCTCATGGCTCCTACGGATTTTTTCATTGTTGCAGTCACGTTAGTGTGATTATTCTCTGTGAATATAGCATGTAATAGACTTAGGATTGCATGAGGTTTGGTATTAAATTTATGTTGCAGTTAAAAAGTATCCAGCTTGTCCAAAATCAATAAAAAGTCAACTTCTGGTGGTCCATCACTACATACTGGTACTTTCAATCAAATTCATGCTATGAATAATTTAATGTTAGGAAGATGGGCTGCACAGATCAGCAAGCAGCCTGGTAAAAATGACTTATATTTTAAATGTAATTTATGTTTTTGTATAAATTTTTGTCATTAAAGGTGTATGTTAAATGGGTCCTTCTCACTGACACACTGTTCAGAAGAAAAACTGAACTGTAAATATATCCACAAAAAGCAAATAACTGAATGGTTATACTAATAGGTCCAAAACAAATCGTCTGTTTCTCTTCCAGTTGCAGCATGTATTATCATTAGTCTTACAAAGTCATCAGATGTCCCAACATTTATATAAAGCCTATCTAGCTGATGGTCCTCTTTTACACACAAACACACACACTGAATTAGTAAAGGTTGACACACACATATATATATATATAGCAGTAAATTTTACAGGGGGATGAAAATTAAAAAAAAAAAAAAAAGTTTTAGAATACAGTATTATTACTTTCATCAGACTGCTGATCTTCTGGGTCAGGGTGGAGGAGCTGGCAGTCATTAAGGGCCTTGTACATCGGTTCTAGTGAAAAATGGTCTGAGGGAACAAACCGAACTTCAGTCATAGCCGATTCATCATCATCATCTTCCGAATCGGAACCATCACCGCTCATCGCATTGGCTGAAATTATTAGTGATTTGCAAGTAAACATAAATGCAGTTAGGAAACCAGGAGATTTACCCTCTCCCCCATCCACAAAAAAAAAACACCATTCACCATGCACTATAGCTTTACATAAAAATAAGCTCATCCACTCAAGCAAATTATGCACAGCAGCACCCAACTGCTTTATAATATTAAGTGTCCACAGTGCTCTAATTATGCACTCAAAAATAGTACAAACACATCCGTTCACTTTTCAAGATTGGTTGCAACAAAATAATCCTTCACAATAATTCCCACTCCAGGTCTGCCAATCATTTTTCTAGAATTTCTGTACTACTACTACTACCCTTAAATTTACTAATAATTTCACTCTTCACTAGTCTATCATCATTCATCTATTTTAAATGCTCTAGCCAATTGGTACTCGTCACTGACTTTTTGCAATCTACATAACTTTTATAATCTATTTTCATAATAATATGAATACTTCTGAAGCTGTCCATTTTTACAGGTCTAAATATTTATTTTCCTATGTTCACACCACACGAGTGTCTCAACGGTATACAAATGAAAGCACTATACTCTTCACATAGCTCTCTGGCTGCATCTGCCATTTTCATAAACGAGTATTCTACATACTGCATCAGTCACTTTCTTACCCCAACTTTGCTAGCACCATTTCCTCCCTCCAACCCCTGATCACACATACCAGGTATTTAAACAACTTCCATTCATATAGATTGTTGTATATTTACTGCCATAACTAAACTCCATCCACATCCTAACCCCTCCCCCATACACACTAACAGAATACCGATTTATTGGTATCTGCTCACTTTTGCAGTATCATAATATTGGTTTAGGTACACCTCTAATGCCATATACAATACAGCTCCTGATAGCTTCTACCCATCTCATTGCAAATATCTGAGCAATATAACCTCTAGCAGTATTGAAACCATCTTACTTATCACAGACAAATTACCCGAATTATATATTTACTAAACCCTTCTAATTACAATACTGTCATATACAACACTACTTAGTAGTCTATAGCAGGCAGCATTTATCAACCTTGGTAACCTGGAAATAATTTAGGGTAGTACTTTAAATTAACACAAGGATTTCATTGTCAACTAACTGCAAGGAGATGATGTGTCTCTTCTCTTGATACTGGTTCAATCAAAATAATTAAACACAAAAAAACTCAAATACATTAGTATATTATTAGATTTAGCCCATTTATCTCTCTCTCTCTCTCTCTATTGCAGAATCCCAGTTGTTAAATGCTGGTCTGCATTTATTACACAATTCCATTAATCTTCATTTTTAAATAAAGGTACAGTCACAGTGCTATGCCAAGTATCTGGCTTGGAACTACTTTCTCATGCTCTCTGGCTAATTTTCTACACCAATATGAATTCCCTTTTATCTACTGTATTTCATAAGTTAAACATACCCATCACTAATGGCTGCAGGTCCATCACCAATGGCTGCAGGTTTACCATATTTCTCCTAATTTACCGAGGTGCTAATATTATCTATGAAAAGGCTTTATCTTTTGGCATTCAATTTTACGTTCATTGCACACCAATAAAATGAATGGAATGGAAGTCCTACAAATGTTGCAGAAAAAAAGGCCAAGGCACTCTTCAGTCAAAGAAACATCAGATACAGTAATAAAAAAAAAAAGTTACAAAATTACAGCTAAAATTAAATCAAATATTCCTTACTTGGAGTTTCTTCCAATTTTGCATCTACCATGAGATACAGGCAAGGATGGGCAAAGCTTGATACATCTCTGCTGACAGCATGAATGGCAATGTGTGGGTACTCTAGAGAAAAACCTTCATCGGCACCGTCTTTGGCCCAAGAAACTCGGCTGTTGTGAGAAAGAGAAAGAGTTAGTGAGCATGTAAAAAACACTTGGAAAACATTAGACAGCAAAAACAGGAATAGAAGGGCAGATTAAGTCCTAATAAATGTTATAAGATCCAATAAAACAGACGAGTCTCTCCTGGACAACCCTCAAATTGTGAGTCGGCAAAAAGCACGAGGTGCTAATAGTGTGATAAAGGAAATACTATTTATGGACAAGTCATTATTCCAAAGATTTGCTTAACGAAAATTTGCTTCCTAGTTTGGCAGATATATTCTACCTTGATCATCACGGCTCCAGTGATGGAAATTGGGTTTGGTTACCAGGAATAAATTGGTTTTGGGAACCAGGTATACACCAAGGATGAAGCAAGGATTTATGCTCAGGGATAACATTCATCCACAATTATAACAAATAAACTACCAATTTAAATTGGTAGAAACTTGACAAAGATTAACTAATACTGTAAGTATCTTTTGCATAAAAAAATAAACTGGAAATTAAAAAGTAAATTTGAGTTTCCTCCCACATTTTATTACTGCACGGCTCCATGCTGTCCTCTTGATGACCACGAGCCCGTTGACAGTGATAATAATTCATTTGACTATGTGGTATCATAATGCCTAGGGATGGAGCATAACATGGCAATCAATCACATCACATGATGGCATTCCAGCTAATATCTTGACAGATATAGCAATGGCACATTTTCAGCACAACATCACACCTGAACCATTCAATCTATCTGGTGACATGTCATGCACGCTGGGATACACAGTTGGCCTGTCCAAAATTTAACTCGTACAGACCCGAGTGATCTTTCCCAACGACATAACTTGGGTATACTGAATATAGATTTTGCTCATCTAAGAACTGGGAGCACCTGCCCAGAAGTTGGCTTACATTGTTTACAGTTGTCAGCTTCTCCATTTTGCCAAGAGAATGGCATTCTACCTCCAAGGGCGAAAAGGTAGATTGGCCTATTGACAGAGCTCGAGTGCATGGGGAAATTACGTAAAATCCTGGTTTGTGTCTCGGAGAGGCTGCAGGGTCCAAGTAAGGGCAGTAGAACTTCTGGTTGTAATTCTTTTACCATGTCGTAGCGCAGTCGATTAAGGCAGTGTCTGGGATGCTCTCTGATGTAGATCCGAACCCTCGTCACGGCCCTTGTGGATTTGTTCATTTGATGCATCATGCTATTGTGATTTGTGTGTAATCTTGGGATTACTCTCATGACTTCGTTTTCTACCTTCTCCAACTTGTTTACTCTGCCTTCACCAAAACAAGAAATGACAGGGGCAGCATAATCAATAAGAGATCTCACAGTATGTCCTGTGATTACCATTGTAATGTGAAATATATAATATGATTAATAACTGGTGTACTGTATGGGTTTGTGAGCCCTTTGAGGGACCTTATATAGACGAGGGTAGAAATAATCTAAGCTACTCTATCCTTTTGAAATGTACTTCCTTTTCTCAATAAACTTATTTGAACTTGAGAGATAAGGGGGCCTAGGATATATATACGGTTTTAAATTTTTTGTTGAAAATGGGTTTAGTTGAAAGTCTGTGTACGATTTGGCAATGTCCACCTTCAACCATCCACACCAAAATATTGTAAATAATACCCAAAGACAAGGCAGTGTTTGTAAAAGTGGAGCTTGAGGCCTCAATAACCTATACCTTTCAGCGATATAGAGGGTCCCAAAGCCCAGTTCCCGCTGGTTCATGAAGGCCTGAGTGTTGCACTGGCGGTGGCGGATACCTTCCTCCGGAGGCGGCAAGTTGGGAAGCAACATCCTCTCTGGCTCACACAAGTCACCACTTGCTCTCTTCAAAGTGCCAAGTGCCAGTAATAGCAGTTGTGCGAGATAACTCGGGCGGACACACGCGGGCTAACGGTTGTTGTTGTTAGTAGGAGATGGACTACCAAGACGGGAGACTCCCAGGCGGCGGCGCCAACACGGGGACGTGAGAGACGCCATCACACTCTGCCCCCACACCGCTAGATGGCCTTGTCACACACCATCTGAGCCCCTGACTCGTCTCATATATTACATCAGAGACATATTATGTCAAAATATAAAGAGCTATAACCGACAATTATATGTACAGGCAGCATAAAACATCCTCTAGACAGTGTGACATTGTAATTGCCGGAATTAGGATGGGATATCGATATCTATGGCAGCACATTCTTTAATGGTGAACATTCCTGTTGTAAACTATGTAAACAGGAGCTGGGACACACTCTCCAACACTATATCTGTGATTGCCCTGTTATCAGAGACTCCAGGACAAATGGTACCCTTACTCAAATCTCTGAATATGTTAAATATTAAGTCACTGTATATCCTCTCATGTATTTTATATATATAAAACGCTGAACTGTAATGTCAATCCTGACCTTAAAAGCTTCCTAGAAGGTTGTAACACATCCCATGAGCACCACACCAGAAAAAATACCTATTTGATATTCCAAGAGTACGACTTAGTCAAACTAGAAATGCTTTACAAATCAAGGGACCCAGAATGTGGAACGACCTTCCCAATTATGTTAAAAACTGTACCTCTCTCAACCAGTTTAAGATAAAAACTAAGTACTACCTAATTAACTCCATGTAACTTACCTCACCCCCTAAATGTCAACCCATGTCTTCTATTTTAAACAATGCTGTCTGTTGATCAAATTGTATATTTGCTATTTTTTCTGTCATATTCCTCCCCTTTTTCTTATTTTTTTTATTTTCTCAACACAATTTATACTTTAATCTCAATTAGTATTAAGTTTTAGTCTTAGTGTTTTTTCTGCCCGAAACGCTTTGCGTAATAGTGGCTTTAGGCATTGTATGTACTAGCTCTATCTATAAATTCATCAACGTTCTGTATCTCACCTTGTATGGAAAGCTTATGTACTTTACCTGGATAAATATTTGATTTGATTTGGTATTTTGAACACTGTAATTACTTCATACACTCAAAAATATTGGAAGATATCCGTGTGCTATACCCAGATTTTGCTCATGGAGGTTATCGCGAGATGATTTCAGGGGTTAGCGTCCCCGCGGCCCGGTCCTCGACCAGGCCTCCTTTTTTTTTGTTACACACCACCAGGAAGCAGCCGTAGCAGCTGTCTAACTCCCAGGTACCTATTTATTGCTAGGTAACAGGTGCATCAGGGTGAAAGAAACTGCCCATTTGTTTCCGTATCCACCTGGAATCGAACCCGGGACCTCCGGACTATGAATCCGAAGCGCTGTCCACTCAACTGTCATGGAGGTTAATAGATCAGCCTTACATTTTATGTTCTCTCTTGATTCTCTATATAAGTTCCTTTGCAATTGGGAATGTTTTGTCAGTAGCCAGATCTATTAACAAATGTCAACACTGCTCATATTCAAGAAAAACTCTATTGTCTCACAAACACGCGAGTGATTGACTCGCACATTTTAAAGTTACCGTAAAATAAATTCATTTTCTTTAACCATGAGAGAACGTTTTCCTTATGACTAACACTAGTATTAACGTTGCATTCTGGAAATGAATGTAATTATATAAGAGGGAAGAAAGTTTTAATCCTGAGAAGATTTAATTAATAATTTTATATACACTCATATCTATACAGAAACTTATAACATATATAAACCAAGATATCACTGCAGTTCAAGCATCAGTAGCGTAAATATCATCAGGAAAAATGGGGAGTTTCGACAAGCCGCCAGCTTCCTAAACCTTCCGAGGCCACTAGATAGATGGCGTCCCTCAGGTAAATTCAGGTAGTACTTTATGCCTAAATATAATCCAAAACCAAAGTAAACGTTCAGTGTATATAAGATGATAAGCGATGCACACCATACATTAATTATTAAAATTATTATATATTTCGGTTGTCCCTCATAGTAATTTGTTTTTCTATATTCACTCTTTCCTGTTATGCACACCTTTACAACCAGGCCTACTGTAGTTATCTGTTGATATAAAACCTTGCTACAATATACCTTTTCATCTTACCTGATATATGTTTGATTAAGGACCTGCCTGAAACGCTATGCGTGTTAAATAGTAGCTTTGCACGAGTGTAAAGGCACTCATATAATAATAGCACTCATAGAAAAACGTTTGACTCTAAATACATATGATTATTTGCTTCTACCACCTCTTTTTATGCTAGTATATACTTTATTATGCAAAGTTATCAGTTACATAACAAAATGGTCACAAAATGTGTACATTGAGAGGAAAGCAAAGAGAGTGTTTTCCCTAGAGGCTGTAGATTTCTTCGAACTCCCCCGACGCTGGGCAGGAACCGAGGATGGCATTCCCCCTCTGGATCACCACCCCCGAGACGCTGGAAAAGGAAGTTCGCCGCTTTCGAGTCCCTTGTTGTTTCAATGAGCTTGGAACCCAGGGCCTTAAGAAACCTTCTTACACGTTTTCCCCCATGGACCAAGCGCCTCATTACATAAGATTACAGTCTTATGTAATTTCACCAACCCAATATTATATATTATATATATATAATATATAATATATATATTACTGGAGTCAAAAACGAGTACGGGTAAAGGAACGCAACAGTTCCCATGGCATCACAACACTGGAATACTCAGTCAACAAAGCCAGAGTGTACACTGGACCTCTCCCTAGCTACTACACTGGCCGTCGCTCTCTCGACGAAACTATTCATTTGCTTCCAAGTGGTATTCAACAATAATGCATAATTCCCATACCCGCATGAAACCAAAAAATATTGATCAAATATTAGCAATTTCCATTCCATATTGAACGAGTTTGCTATCCTACGCAATCGATCATTGAACACCTTTGCACGTGTTGACCGCTGAGTATTGATCTTGCTGACATTTGCGTATTATGGAGGTATATTTGTGGTGAGTGAATTGTTGTGGTGTAGTGACCTATGCGTTTGTGCTGACATGTGGGAGCGGAGAGTGGCTATAGTTACCGAAACACTACAAGCACAGGTGAGTAACATCTCATGAACTTTGCATGATAAATGCCATCATTTCTAACCTCGTCTGTGACACGCTCTCACATTGTACTTACACATATTATAACACTCAATAATAACGCTACTATTTTTACTACTACTACTAGTAATTAATAATAACTGAATAGGGAACAACTGTTACCAGCGATATAGTAAATATGACATACCAAATATAACAAATTTAAGAGAATCTGGATTTAATAAAGCTTTTGTTGCCGAAACTTAGCTTCAATAAAGTTGCTCAGTAAAGGTTCATTTTCAATAAGAAAATTTTAAATTTTAAATTTTCAATTATCACAGTGCACGTCTTGAACAAGACACAGTGCTGACGGTGAAGTAGATATATACCAAAGTAGGAGTAGACTTGATCGTAGAAAAGCCTTATAGGCAAACTGTCATCTTCTATAAAGTCTACTGTCTACCTTTTTCTTTTTACTGTACCAAATCTGGAGAAGACTTTTGTGGATAATAACGTTGGTTGTGCGAACTGTCTTTAGATAGAAACGATATCTATCGATATCTATAAAGATATCTATCTTTAGATAGATAGAAACGTGTCGTCTCACAGCCCCAAACAGTTCACATCTTCATCAGTATTAAAGACAGACCTTTCTGACTGTGGTCCTGAGTAACGGGAACCAATGTGCTATGACATTTACAGTTCAAAGTGAATATATACACTCATGAGGTGTATATACAGAGTATACTTTGGGCCTGGAGTATATTCAGTACTAGAGTATACTTTTTAGTTGGTCAAAAAGTTCTTGTGGTGGCCTTAATACCCACCCCGCGGTTGTTGGAACTTAACACCTAACACCATCCACTTTACTGCATTTTACAGGGAACAAAAAAGAGATAACATGAATTAACACACGGACTACGATCAGCGTGCTGGACAACCCGTGTCCGGTCGACGTCGTGCAGCGAGGGTAGCCAACCCGTGTCCGGTCGACGTCGTGCGGCGAGGATAGCCAACAGGTGTCCAGACGACGTCGTGCGGCGAGGATAGCCAACCCGTGTCCGGTCGACGTCGTGCAAATAATTAAACTGAGGTACTGACAGAACAATGACGAGGGAGTATCGTGAAAATACAGGGCGAGTGAGAACTGTCGGTATCCACTGTCTGTCATGGCCCAACGTGGGTGCTCATGGGCATTAACCTCAAGCCATGAGTTTCCCTGCTTCGTCACCAGCACCACCACCAGCAGCATCCATCACCCGCACGGTGGTCCACGCGAGGAAGAAGCATCATGAGGGCTTCCAGCCGGCGGAGTTCGGCCGGTGTCTCCTTGACTACTTCGACATTCACGACGATTTTGGGCGGGTGGAATGTTGGCTTGAGAACAACATCGTGTACCTCCAGCCCCCGTCACCACAGGGAAGGGCGCCCAACACCACCAGTGCTGACCAGCCCGTGGCCTTCAGGTTCCAGGTAAGGCCACCTACCCTTAGACAGTTTCCTCCTTTTTATAACTAATCCAATACGGTCATGATTAACACTTGAATGATCTGTTCACCATGCTCGCGAGCGAGAGTGAACAGCGACATTGATAAATAACATGCACACGCTAAAGTAAGGCGGGTAACAGACGAAGAATGAGACGAACAAGTCGAGAGAACCTAAAAATTATTTTATCATTAAATGCAACTTGGAATATGTATTTTAGTGCCGACGAGTGCAGGGCTGTAAGCCTGAGACATGAAACAGCGACATATGTCAACTAGACACCAAGTAAACCTCTAAGACCCCTCTAAGACCCTCTAAGACCTCTAAGGTGTGAGATTTGTCAGTTAATACGAGTCTGAAACCAAGACGACAGTTCACTAACGTTCGGAATACGGCTTTGGGGTACCCAGAGCATAGATTCGAATCCTTCTCATGGCTTCTACTAATTTGCTTATAGGCAACTCATGCTCATGCTCAAATCTTAGGGTTGCATGTTTGCTATTGCCAAATGCATGAAATGACAATCTGTGCATTACATTTGTTATGAATTTAGTTTAAAATTTGTAAACAAATGTGCATTCTATACCGTTCGTACATCCTCAAAACATAAATGTATGTCTCCATATTTTACACAAATATTTTACAAAGGTATTTTGCTCATTATACTGTAAAAAAAATTAATGGGAATGAAGACGAACTTTCCTAGTGAGGTATTTCGTCATGCTCTTCGTCCTTCCTGCAGCATCCGCCCTTCTGCGTCGCTCACAAGATCAAGCCGGAGCAGAAGAAGGCCCTTCCCCCGGAGACCTTGGCGCGGGGTGTGGACGTGGGTGTGAGCGTCCTGCTGGAGGCTAGCGACGGACACCTCCTGATGACCCGCCGGGCTCAGCACATGAGGACCTTCCCTGGGGTGTGGGTCCCCCCTGGCGGCCATGTTGGTAAGTCAGGGACAAGGGGCAATACGTAGGGGAGAATGGGGGGAGGCGGAGGTTTCAGTGGGATCCAGAGAAGAAAAAGGAGAAAAATCAACACTGAATAGGGAGAGGCTTGCTGGAAGAGGCATCAGAGGAAGGCGGGGGCTGTCGTCGATATTTTTGGACGTCTCGCATGTTACAATTGTGTCTTGAAAGACATTCACATGGATGACTCGGGAACATGTCAAGGCCCTGATCTACCACCATCCCCTCATCTCATACTACTTACATCATCCCAGTTTGCTACACCTCCTAATTCATCTCAATTCATCTATGATTCTACGAGTTTAGGTTCATCTCTTCATACATCAGTATATACCTCCCTCTATCCTTACTCTCAACTTCTGTTTTGCATAGTCTTCAGTTCCTCAACTTTGAGTTTAATTCTTTTTTTTCACTATTCCATTTGTTTACGGTTTCCAGAGGAAGGCGAGACACTGGTGGAGGCGGGCCTGCGGGAGGTGATGGAGGAGACGGGACTGGAGATGCTGCTAAAGGACGAAGAGGAGGAAGACGAGGAGGGGATAGAACAAACGTTGTTGAAAGACAAGAACGAAGCCTCGCAGAAGGAGAAGGGTAATCCATCGTCGTCTTCACCCTCAGAAGGAAAATGCCGAGTGTTGGGTCTGTGGGAGTCGCTGTACCCGCCTGTCCTCTATATGGGGGAGCCCACGAGGCACCACCTGGTGGTCTACCTCCACATCAGGGTACCTCTCACTGCCTCCGACCTGCAGAGGAAGCTCAAGGTGCGTCTAGGGAGGGAGGGGGGTTGAAGGGGGTGGAAACTTAGACTAAACCCATGCTGAATGCGATTTATAAACCAGAATAAGTCTCAAGTTTATTCCTATATAGTAGTAGTAGGCATCCATCAGTCTCAGGAGACTATGGAGTTGCGCTCTGGTTGTCGGTCTGGAGTAGCCTCACCAGCCTCCTATATAACAAATGCATAAATAGTGGTGTAAACAAAGTTGACTGGAAATGTCAATTGTAGGTCTTGCAATGTTTAGAAATAAGTCTTTCGAGACACACACTAGCAGTTTAACAGCCTAGGAAACTGAAATCTCTCATTCTAGAATTTTGAACTTTAGAAATGCCAAGATTCACACAACATTTGCGTGTCCATTCCAAAGATCTGTACCTCTGTTGCTCATGGCGGCTTAGGTGGTATTTAATCCCAGTTTACGAACTCCGAAGCGCTACGAGGTCGGCCTCAACCCAGGGTTACTGCTATGGATCACCTCGTAGCGCCTCGGAGCTCATAAACTATTTAGTAAGTACCGAATAATCTCTGCGAGCGAGATAAGAGGTTCAGATATCACAAGTGGACGCGTAACTGCTCTGTGAACCTTGGCCAAACCTCAATGGCGGAGAAGTGGTTCACCTACCGTGCCTCCGTCAGCTGGACAGCAACGAGGTGGACGCGTGCCTGTGGCTGACGCAGGAGATGGCGGAGGTGGTGGTCTTCGGGTCCAACAGACCCGCCTCAAGGGACATACCCATCACACTAGTTAACACCGAGGGAGGTAAGAGCCCCTCTTATGCAGACGATGAGTCACAATAACGTGGCTGAAGTATGTTGACCAGACCACACACTAGAAGGTGAAGGGACGACGACGTTTCGGTCCGTCCTGGACCATTCTCAAGTCGACTGAGAATGAACCAGGACGGATTGAAACGTCGTCGTCCCTTCACCTTCTAGTGTGTGGTCTGGTCAGCACCTCTTATGTATACCAGGGCCTGTTGAATAATTGTATTGCAAAGAAGCAGCCTTTGCAATAGTAGTCTGGCACTAGCCACCATGCAACAGCAGTTTGATAATATCACGGTTCTCAAATAATAATACTGAAACCATTTCAATTCAAAACTTCAAATAAATACATTCAAATAAATATTTTTTCTCGGCCATTTCGTTCCAGTGCCGAGGAAAACATTGATGGATTGTTGCAACAAACTTTTTAATGACACATTTTGTATAAATATTTTGTTCGATTTCACTCTCGTTCGCACCGGATGCTCTCAGCTTTGTCTTCCACTTAACATTGTGGAGTCGAGTGCATATTAGATTACTCTGTGATAACCTATAATGCTGACAACCATTATAATATTCATGGCATATTTCTCCCTGATTATGGGAGAGAACTACCATATTGTAGGTAGGTCTGGTTCACTCTCCTTCCCTTACTGTCTCTGTCCCACTCCCTGTTCCTTAGTGTTCCCGTTTCATTTCCCTCCTTTAGTTCACAGTCCCATTCCGTCGTCTTTACTTGATGCGTCTTATTCCCTCTTCCCTACTATCTCCGCCCCACTCCTTTTTATTCATGGTGTCTCATTTATCTTTCTTTACTGTCTTTTTTTTATCACCCCCCTTCGTAATACTGTCTCATTTCTCTCTCATTCTGTCCCCTCACTCCTTCGTTCTTACTCTCCCGTCTCTCGTCTCCCTTCCCTTCCCTCCTCTTCCCATGCTCCCTGTACCTCTCCCTAGACCAGTCACTAACCAGTCCCACGGGACGCGGGTCTCTCAGAGCACGTGACTGGGATCCTCAACCCGAAGACCCTCAGGAAGAAGATGCCGGAACCGGGCTTCGAGGTGGAGCGCCTCACCACAGGAACCAGGTCAGGAGGTCAAGGGTGGGTCTGGAGGTCCAGGTCAGGAGGTCAAGGTGGGTCTGGAGGTCCAGGTCAGGAGGTCAAGGGTGGGTCTGGAGGTCCAGGTCAGGAGGTCAAGGGTGGGTCTGGAGGTCCAGGTCAGGAGATCAAGGGTGGGTCTGGAGGTCCAGGTCAGGAGGTCAAGGGTGGGTCTGGAGGTCCAGGTCAGGAGGTCAAGGGTGGGTCTGGAGGTCCAGGTCAGGAGGTCAAGGGTGGGTCTGGAGGTCAAGGGTGGGTCTGGAGGTCCAGGTCAGGAGGTCAAAGGGCAGGAAGCAATATAAAGAAAACCAAAGCCAATATAGCTGAATTCTGGTCAAGCATGATTACTTTTTAAAATACAAAATTTGATAAATCATGTGTGTTTAATAAACATTAAAACATGGATAAGTTGCAGTGCAACATCCCAGTGGACACAACATCCAGAAGTAACGTTGAATCAACCTCGTCTGGGTCATCAGTATGGGCCATACAGTATGAGCCATCAGTATGGCCCAGACCTAACCTAACCTAACCTAACCTAACCTAACCTCGTCTGGGTCATCAGTATGGGCCATACAGTATGAGCCATCAGTATGGCCCAGACCTAACCTAACCTGATTGTGGCAGGTACGCGCTCAAGCTGTGGCTTGAACAACGACACGGAAGGGATGAGATGCGAGGTGATCAGGTCAACTGGGGTCACGTGCAGGTCAGGAGACGACGCAGGAACGCCCAGTTGCCTGCTCAATTACGTCGCAGAATGCCCACCCAGCGACGGATCTTTACAACTGACGCGCCAGTTACATCGTCGGGAGCCGTAACAGACAGTTGGTAGTCAGTGCGGGTTTTACTACCTTCTCTCGCCAGCCTGTCACCCGGTCATGCTGTCTCCTTCCAGCCTGTAGCTACTGAAAACTCCTTTCTCCTTCCCTCAGTCTTAACCAAGGCAGGCTTCAGCCTTCGTTTCTGGTCAGTTTTTAACTATAGCAGTTTGTATCCCTCCAGTCTATGGAAGATTGTACTTGCCTTTCATCTAGCCTGTGGCAAAACGCTAGCAGTTTCCAGACCAGGCTGCATTCAGACCAGAATGCAGCCTGGTATGCAGCCTGGCCTGGTCTTTGATTTCAGCCACATTCTCACAATCGACTTGAAAATGGTTCAAACCCTGTTTGAACTGCATTCAGACAGGGGTTGCATTTAGGGCAGTCAGAGATGGTTCAATTCGGAGTAGGCTGTATTAGGAGCAGGCTATATTCAGAGGAAATTGTATCCCCAAGGCAGGGCACGTAAACACTAATGAACACTGCAAGAATAAGTGAAGAACAGTGAAGAACATTATGAACTGCTGCAGATTTCAACCCACCCGTCCTATAGCCTCTCCACCTACTGTACAAAACTTGTTTACAACACACCAATAACTTTCATATTTTATAGTCACAAAACACTAATTAAGACTGTCTAAAATAATATATTTTTAATTCATTTGCAATATAAAGAGTGCAGTTTGTTATTATTATATATTAAAGTTTGTTCCTAAGGAAGAATGATTTTTATTCTCCTTATTTTAAATAAAAGAGTAGAATCCATTACACAGCCTTTGGTCCTGTGTAAAACTGACTTATATCTGATGGTCCTGTAATCTCTGATATATATGTAACATATAAATATCTTGCAACTTGTATAAACGTCATAACAACACAGTAAATTAAGTAATATTAAACAAATCAAGGAGCTGTACGCAAGACGAAATATTTAGTTTACGAAAATATTTTGTTGTTTGTAATAGAAATATCTATTTACGAAATACATTGAGTGAACTGATGACCTCGTAGTGGTCTTGAACACCAAAGGTCATCGCTGCTTCACGCATGTCCTTTAAAAAGGATCAATATATCTCTCAGGAAAAAAAGCTATGAAAATACAAGTAACACAACAATATTTATCATGACCATAAGATTAAATACCATAAACTATATTCGCATCGAATTTATGAAAACAGTTTATTACTAATATTTAAACCCGTTCTCAGGCTAAGCTTTACCAAGCTGCGGCCGACCCTCCCAAACCAGCACACTCCGCCCTGGCGTAGGAGACTTTACTTGTCAGTGCACAGGTTAACAGCTCTGATGCTATTAACCACCAGTCTCCACCAGGCCACCAGTCTCTGTAACAACAGCCTTGTTGATATTAATAATAATGATGTGCACCTTGAAACATCCTTCGTGAGCACTTGTCTCTCAAACCAGGTGACAAGCAGCTTGCTTAAGCCCCGTCACTTTCCCACTTAAGTCAACTCTCCTCCACCTATTCCCCTCTTTCCCCCGCCTACCCATTGGGGAATATATACTATATATATAAGCCTAAGTCTAAGCTAAGCTAGTCCAAGCTGCGGCCGACCCCCCACCAGTTCATCCTCAGACTATGCTGGTCCAAGCTGTTGTAGGGGTCACATTATACACACCAGTTTCAAAATCTAAATAGAAAAAGGAGGTACAATAGGCAAAAAATGGTCAGCCAAGGTCTCATCTACGGTCTGTGAAGGTGAACTGTAGCGGGCGAGACGGTCCGTAGCTGAGCTTGTTGACCAGGTGGACGTCCCCGTACTTGTAGTCCACGTCAAGCTCACTCAGCACCTGCGCACAAGAATAAGACTTGTTGACCAAACCACACACTAGAAAGTGAAGGGACGACGACGTTTCGGTCCGTCCTGGATTATTCTCAAGTCGATTGTGAATGGTCCAGGGACATTCTCACAATCGACTTGAGAATGATCCAGGACGGACCAAAAACGTCGTCGTCCCTTCACTTTCTAGTGTGTGGTTTGATCAACAGATTTCAGCCACGTTATTGTGTCCCCTCGTCTACAAGAACAATACTTTAGACTGATAAAACGGGGACAAGTCAGGGATGCTTGAAGCCAGAATAAGTGGAAACACTTGTAGATTTATGTAGCGAGAGGCATAGAAACAAATATCCCACACTCGCTAACTCGACCACACTTGCCAACACTCCCACACGGCGGCCGAGAGGACAACGTTTGGGAGTCACACCCGCATCCTCCCACTAAGTGAGTACGCACACTCTCCTCCAACACACACCCTCCCACACACACACACCCGCACACACGTAAGTCTCACCCTGACAACGAGGCAGAATACTTCCTGGTAGGCGATCCTCCTGCCAAGGCACATCCTGGGGCCGTAGGAGAAAGGCAGGAAGGAGAAGTTGTGGCGCGGAGCGAGGCTCGACCCCCTCAGGAACCTCTCTGGCAGGAACTCGTGCGCGCGTGGGAAAACATCTTCCTGATGGTTCAGGAGCAGCGTCGGTGCCACCACCTCCCACTGTGGGGCAGAGAGGGCAGGGGTGAAGACGGAGAAGCGAGAGAGAGAGAGAGAGAGAGAGAGAGAGAGAGAGAGAGAGAGAGAGAGAGAGAGAGAGAGAGAGAGAGAGAGAGAGAGAGAGAGAGAGAGAAAATAACAACACGCTTCAACTCACCCCTTGAGGCACCAGGTATCCGCCCAGCACAGCATCACGGTTGAGGCGTCTGACGATGCCAACATTCACAGGCATCACTCTGAGGGATACGGACACACTCACTCATCATTGAAACAAATCGTACATGAATAATAATATAATTATTGAGAAAATTCAGACTGAACAAGGTCTAGATAGACAAGGAAGCATGCATAAACATAAGGCCCAATTTTCCGCCCATACAGGGGAAACTAACCAATATTTTGTGGCGAAAGAGTTGATGTTCCAGCTGTTCAGCTTCGCCATGAACACTAAACTATACTAATCTAAGTAACTCTTTTATAGACAAGCTCAGGAGAGCTAGTCCAAACTATCTTCTTCAATAAAAGAGCCTGGAAAATGGGACACTGAGAGGTAGAGTAATCTCGTCTCACCTGAGCGTCTCCCTGAAGACAGCCTTGGTGTAGGTGAGGTTAGCCAGGTGGGCGGGTGTCAGGTGGTCAGGCCGGCCCACCACTTTGTCGATCTCTTGTTGCACCTTCTGCCTCTCCTTCGGGTGCTTCGCCAACAGGTACAGGAGGTTGCCCACGGCGTGGCTCGTCTGGGGAGGGGGAAGGTGACAAGCCGAGAGTTACGTCTTCTCCTCCTCCTCTCTCTCTGTCTCTGCATCTCTGTATGTGTCTGTCTCTCTCTCTCTGTCTCCTGGGCATTATCCTAGAGAGACAGACACAGAGAGGTAACCTCAAGGTTATCTGACCCATTAGAATAATTATTTATCACTAACAACTATTTTACAAGATAGAGTAACCTTTGGACAGGGAGAGTGATTAGCGCCGGTCCAGTGTTGACGCGCGGCGCCTGCCACTCCCATTTTTCAGTTTCTCACTTTTATCACCTTGAAATCTTTGCCCAAATGTGTGCCTAATGTATTCCATCCAGTGTTAGTGGTGAGATGTAGGGGTGTAGGGGTGTCTGGGTGTAGGGGTGTCTCGGTGTAGGGGTGTCTGGGTGTAGGGGTGTCTGGGTGTAGGGGTGTCTGGGTGTAGGGGTGTAGGGGACACAACACCAGAGCAGCATGTACAACATTCCCCAATAGGAAGAAAACATGCTGGGTTGTTCATCCTGTCACTTGTACCCAGATACAGCTGGGACGTTATCCTTAAAATCTTACGTTATCTTGCGGGTACAAAATGGGGGAATCTTTTAATAACATTATCAAGGCATTTTTAACTTTCTGATGTGTGGCGTGGTTAACATGAAAGATATACATTATATACATGTATTCTAGACCCTTATTTAGCTTCTGTGTCACGAACCAGGAGTGTTTATAAGTGCATCCAAGAAGAACACACAAATCTGTACATTAAATTGTTTGTTGAATGTTTGATTTTGTAGTGAACTTGGTACAGTATATAAAATCACACTACATAATTACTAGTCATTACTTGGTCCTATATACTGGACCGGTGCACTTAAAATTAGTATATGTATGTCTGTATGTTGTGTATGTGTATATTGTACTGGTGTATGTTGTCATTATACTGGTGATTTCCATGCGAGTTTGTATGTACTCACCCAATTGGGTTTACAGCGTTGAGCACTAGCTCTCTAACTCCGCCTCTTTCTAAATCTTTGGGTCTATTACTGCAATAACTTTCATTCCTCTCTAGAAAGCTTAGGATGCATTTATCATTTTGCATCATGCATTTTCTGCACTTTATATCTTGTCAATTTATATCTTGAAAGCAACTTAGACAATAAAGGCAATCATTTAAGATGAAACAACTTCGCTGGACAGCTCACAAACTGCCTAGATGCGAAAAGGAAAAGGAATCTCCGAATTTTGCATCCATTCTGCGTTACCCGAACGTAAACATGAATCCGGATTTGGTACGAAATTATAACTTTTTTCCTTTTTCATATCTTAAGTTTTCACGAGTAATTAATTTCAACGAAACTATAAATTTCCAGAAAAGAGACTGGCAAACGTTCATGGTAGTTGTATACGGATGCAATCCGAATTGTTACCTAATTTAGTTATGAATTATCTAAGACTACAGGACGTTCTTTTAAACAAAATCTTTTGTATAGCGCATTTTTGTTGACCGCTAAGAAAAAAACGGACATTTTGATTGAAAAGATTTCTTTAAGATAGTGGTCATATCATTTCCTATCTATTGCATTATAAAGGTCACATTATGTGCCTGACTGGGAGTCCAGTAGGTTCGAATCTTCTGCAACGGGAAAAATTACAGTTTTTAATTTGGTTTAGGATATTTTCCGGAGCAAGGGAGCCCTCTGGCGAGGGATGGGGGAACTACGTGAGTGGGAGCCCTCTGGCGGGGGACGAGGGAACCACGTGAGTGGGAGCCCTCTGGCGAGGGACGAGGGAACCATGTGAGAGAAGGCGTCTTACATCTTTCATGTTATTTTCTGCCATTACTTTCGTCCCACCGCCACCAGGAATTTGTGAGTTTCCAGGACATTGCACAAAGGAAGAGCATAATGGGCGACATTATAAAAAGGAAACATGGGGGTCTGGAGAATGGTTGACCTGTCACAGCCGCCACCGCCATCTATTGCCTTCCTCTGTAACTGTTGCGGACGCTGCTGTTGTATTCGCCTAGTTTTAGTCACCTAGTTGTGCTTGCGTGAGTTGAGCTCTGGCACGACTGGTGCCCAATCGTTCTTCCCTACTTGGCCTAAGCTGACCTTGCCTTCTCACCGTGTCAATGCCAGTTGATATCATATCCAGCAGGAAAGTGAGGACGTCCTCCCTGGAGAGTCCTGGGGTCCCCAGCAGGGTCTCCAACAAGCTGGCTGTCTTCCCATCTTCCTGTTGGTGGTGTTGGAGCGGGCAGGAGGTGTTCATGGTGCGGTGACCTGGACGAGCGCCCAGGAGCCGCTCGGTATCTCGTATGGCCTCAAGAGCTACGCTGACGGTGGGAGAGGAAGCCATCAAAATGGGGAAACGAAAATCACATTCAATAATATAATTTTTCCAGCATATAAAAAAGTGTGAGAAATGTTTATGTCATGATTGTAATGCGACGACTGTAAAAATATTCCATTCAGTTCTTTGACAGACTAATCACACCGTTCAGTTCCCCGTACTGAACGGGGTACTCTTCACAAAGAATTATAAGTTGAATGAACAAATCCACAAGGGCCGTGACGAGGATTCGAACCTGCGTCCGGGAGCATCCCAGACACTGCCTTAATCGACTGAGCTACGATTAAGCTTCGTAAGAGAAGCTTAAGAAGATTAAGAAGAAGAAGATAAGAAGAAGAAATTAAGAAGCTACGAGCTTCGGCCGTTGTGGATTTGTTCATTTGATGCATCACGTTAGTGTGATCTCTGTGTGTAATTATAAGTTGAAGTTCGACTCACTCTGTGAAGACCTGGTGTGCCTCCTGAAGTCTCCTGATGGAGGCGGTAGGGAAGTACTGCCACAGCTTCACGTTCTCGGTCTCGTGCAGCGCCCCAAGCAGCTGCTGGGCCAACTCAATGAGGCGCAGCGGACGAGTAGACGAAGGAGACGACGTCGTGTCCTCGAAACATCCAAGACGACGCTCCAGCGCGATGGTGCCCAGTGCTAATCCCAGGTACAGTGCAGGTGGGGGGTGGTGCAGATGGTGGGGGTAGTGCAGGTGGTGTGGATAGTGCAGGTGGTGGCACAACACGGCGAAGGCACATAAAAGAACTTCAGGCAATGTACCAAACACTCTTAAACAAATCAATATAAATAGACGGACGACCACCAGCACAATATTCAGAAATAACAACTAGAGATAAACAAATTAACACCCAGACGTACTGAAAATTATATGGACCACAATGTGAAATTACAAGAAAGTAGGACTTGAGACTTACACTCTAAAGCCCACTTGTATAGCTCACTGTTGAAGCTCTCTGGTACCTCGTTTCTGTCGTCTCTCATTGTTCGAATTCTGCAATAAGTGAAATAATTATACATCTATTTAATATGCTGTTGACCGCGTATATGAATATATATGAGTCTTCAATATACGAGTGTAAGTTGGGAGGCAAACAGCCTACCTATAATAGAACTCCATTGCTACTTGGTTCATATGAGGCAGGTGCTAGTAGAGGCAGGGCCTACCTGTGGACGAACTCCTTGGCTACTTGGTCCATTTGAGGCAGGTACCGGTGGACGATGTCGGGGTTAGTGAGGGGACGTTGAACACGGCGCCTCACCCTCCACCACTCCTGACCCTGTCTGTGGCAAACTTGTTCAGTACGTCGCCAGAGGTGATTTCTGGTCATCATGATCTTTGATCATTCTTCTTTGAAGAAGTCAATTTAAGAGGGAAGGTAACTGATTACATGATTTTTGAGGGTAATGAATGGCAACTATTGACCGAAATCTTAATTAGAACTAAATTAATTTAGAAACATTAAAATACTCCAGCACAACATTCATCTTTACATTATTACCTTCAGCAACTCGCTCACTTCATATACTTGACTGCAACACCTAGCCCTTAAACTCTTCAGTCACGTTAGTACACCCCAACACCTTCTAGCCCTCAACACCACCCCTTTCCTCTAGTTCGAACACCATGCCACCATCGACCAAACACAAACACCAACGTACTCTGCCAGGATGCCCGCCTTGCCCCTGAAGATGTGGTCGTGGAGTCGACTGTGGCCGTCTGCTCCTCCTTCACTTCGGATCCTTTTGAGGGAAGCCATCCCTGGCCTGACGGGGTTATACATGGTGGAGCGCAACAGGGTCTCCAGGTCCTCGGGCCGGGTGATGAACACCAGACAGGGGTGACCTGGCATGTCCTTCCTGAAGATCGGACCAAACTCTTGCCGTACAGCCTCCCAGAACAGGTACACGCGCTGGGGATCGAAGTCTGGCGAAGAGACACAGATGGTAATGTGACTTATCGAGAGAAATACAGAGTAAAACTAAATATGTTTTGGTCTGTTAGAGGAGAAGTTGCCGCCAAAATGTTAATGAATGCTTAAATAAAAATACTGCTGATTACCAACCTTCTTTTGGCCCAGTGCTTACTTCAGTTTATCTGAATCAAACAGACAATTCCTGCATTATATATTACAATGATGTCTAAACTTTTAATTTTTTAAAAGACAGTTCACTGCCAATATCTAGTTTCGGAACATTGTGATCACTCTGGAGTGCCATCAACTGTCACAAGTAATTGTCATCTCTAAAGTGTGTGTATTCGCCTAGTTGTGTGTGCCTGTGTGTGTTTGGGAGGGTGAGGGAGTGAGAGGGGGAATGCTTCCACCTGGCCTTGGAACCTCACCCTTGTGTGTGAGCATGTATGGAAGACAGCCCACAATAGGCCAGGAGCGGGGGCCGGGCAGCTGGGAGGCAGGACGCGGATGGCTTCTGTCCTCGGCCTCCGCTATGTAGTTCCTCTCACTTAACATCGTCTCCGGCTCGAAGATCATATCCGCGTTCTCCTCCATCAGGTTGTAAGCCTCCAGGTATGGCGTGGCATACGGAGAGTGGGTATTAATGCTTGAATCTTCATGATATGGTGATGGGTTGGGGTCTCTGTTGTCATTACTGCTGCTAGGTGGGTCGTTCTGAGCAGTCTGACACTGTGACACACCTCGGGTCATGTGACATGTCGGCCTTAACCCTGGAGATGTTCCTCCAGTCCTAGAGGTCACCAGCCAAGTTGAGGACCTCGCTAGCAGTCTCCATGCTCTCATCTCTGAGAGAAGGAAAATATATTAATTAATAATGAAGATATGAGCAAAGGAACTTCTATTTGACTTTTATAATTTGTTCAATTTCGCAGAAAATTACAAAATCTGCAATGGCGTCGCTCATACATATTACGACACATTTCGCAGAGATCCTCGCTGCTTCTGAGGCAAATATCGTTTTTTGTGACATTATACTGGCGGAAAATCACTCTGGATGAAATATGGCAAACCTCTTCCAGCTATCAAATTCAAGGTCACTGCTCCTTCACCAAAAAAACAATGTTTCAGATATTCTCAATGCAAAGTTTCATCAATATAGTTTGAGTCAAGTCGAATACTGCTAGATTATCACCTTAAACTCTATGTATGTTAGTATGTTATTATTTTACATTCCGGAATGAGAAGAGGAAAAAGAAACAGCTGAGGGACAATGAGAAAGCGGCGTTAAAAGAAGAAACCTCTTAAGTCGAGGTCAAATACTTACTTTTTAAGAGTAAGCAGCTAAAACACTGTCTTCAGGCACGTCCACAGAGTTGCACCACGAGGGAGATATGCGCTAAGAAGTCCACCGACAGGTACACCGAGAGGAAGAGACGTGTCAAGACAATCTCGTGCACAAGAAACCTACGCTGACTGGTACTGCTCCACTGCTCCTAGAAGCAAAGACACCAAGCCTCTTGACAGTGAAGTTAATCATTTGAATCTTATCACGTCGGCGAGTGCTTAAGATGATTATATACTCATCACCATTGTAATCGCCCATACAGCAGCCTTATCTGCTGGGTAGGATCGAGCTGATTGGTTCATACTACAGAGAGAGAGAGAGAGAGAGAGAGAGAGAGAGAGAGAGAGCTAGTCTAGGTACAACGCTGCCTCCACCACACTATACAATAGGAACGTATTCAGGTATCTAATCTGCCAGTTCTGTGGCCTCAGCGACATCAGTGGAGGTCACCAAGTGACACTGTCAGTGTTGTCCACTAACGATGACATCTACAGGTAACACCCACTGCTAGGTCCGTTAGGCGTTTGTTCTTATATTATGAAGAAATATATTTATTTATATATATGTTAAAATTATGTATAGGTGAAGTGTTTAGGTTCTGTTGACGATTATTTGTATTTTGTAATACGAGGGTGAAGCATGTACAGAGTTGCGATACGAACAGCGGTGTCAGCGAAGCACTGATCGAGAAATCTTCGATCCTTATCAGTCGTGAGTCGTGTATAAACCGCTTTTCATATCAGCCCGTCCTCGAAACAAAGACCCAAAGTCCATTCCATACACCTGCCAAACCCCCCTGTTTATGAATGAAAAACGGTTTACACACGACTCACAACTGATGACGTTCGAACACTTCCGGAACAAGTGCTTCACCGACAAATTTTGTTCGAACCACAACGCTGTAAATGCTTCACCCACGTACTATAAATACAAATAATCGCCAACAGAACCTAAACACCTAACCTAACTTATGCCTATATATATATATGCACAATATGCTAATATATTAAAATAGTAATTTATATTTGAGAAAATTCCCATTTTGAATGAACAGCAGGCTAAAATTTATGAACGTGTTTGTGGGATCGACCGCTGGATGTAATGGACTTGAGTCGAGGACGGGTTGTTTCATATGTAAACAAGGAGTTTTGTGGGTGGAGTAACGCACATTTGACCTTTGTTGACGAGGACGAGCTTGTGAAGCATTAGGAATGACGCGGTTTGAAATAGGCAGAGAGCAAAGCACTGTCCAAAATTTATTATAGCTTAATCAGTAGCCAGTCCTCATCAACAAAAGTCAAATGCTCGTTAATCCAGCCGGCAAACCCCTGTTTGTGTATGATAAACGGTTGACATACGACTCAAAACTGACATTGAAACATTTTTCGAACAGTGCTTCAAACACATACTGTCAATGTAAATAATCGCCAACAGAACCTAAACATCTAACCTAACCTATAGGTTCGGTAACCTATACTGAACTATACATAGGACTCTAATGCATAATATTGATATAAAATAAAAAAAACTTTTTAATATACAAATAGTTATAATTGATATCTTTGGTGAACAAAGAAATGAAATTAAAATGGTCTTCAGTCGGCCGCGGTTTTAAACGAACCTGGAATTAGAACGTTTTTTCCAACTATTCCATATTTTATGCTAATTCTCTGGCTCTTGACCCCAATGGATAAGCAATGTAAACAGTGCAAAATATTCACACTGTAGTAATTTAGATTTGTTTACCACAAAGATTTCTCTTCAGTGATACACTTAAAAGAAAATGGTTTTAATGCAGGGTACACTTTACAAAAACAATTATTGTTGCTCCCAAGTATATACATATATATATCGGACAGTGTATTCCGCTAAGCATATACTTATATATTTTACTTGTTCTAAACTATGATTATAACTAAAGTACACATATAATTGGCCAATACGCTATAGTGACTGCTTAAATCACCCTTCAGAAATTGAAAGGCCTTCAGCTCAGCACCTAACCAACGGATTCCTGTGATTTAATTCACTTCTCAGTGGTCAACTCGCACAGGTCACGGGTTCACTACTCACGTAGAGTGGCTTAACATTTGGGCAATTTATGTACCCAAAGGCCTAAACTAATTATTAAATTATTTAAAAAAGTTACCCATTTATTAAAGTAATTTTCTTTGATAAAATATGTCAATGAAATGTTACTTGTAAATTAATATATATTTAATTTTATTCGTTGGAAATAATTTAAATTAGCTTATATCATATTTTTAATGGTAAAAGTTTGGATTTAATGTCGTACAGGTAAAAAGTATTAGTTAGTGTTTTTTTGTGAATATGCATTTTAACTGACAATGAGGTGTCTTGGAGGACTGCAAAGCATTATTACTAGGTGTTATTGTATTATGTTTGATAACATACATTTTGTATTTAGTTAAATAAAACTTGTTAATTTTCTTAATTTGCTAATCTTGAATGTTTTTTATTTTGAAGGTTCCGTATATTTGTATAACATTTAATATCTCTTAACTTAAATGATTATAATTAATTATAAAATTTTAAGTTAAGCAGGATGTTAAATAATTATGCACATATAATCGAGTTCATAAAAAGAAATCCTAGTGTGACTGCAACTTTCCGGTCACCACCCACACGATGGTAAAGGTCAATAATAAGAGGACTTTTGTTAAAAATATTTAGTATATATCAGTGTAATATTGTATTGCATACGATGAGTTCGTGTAAGTCAAGAGGTGTAGCTAGGTTTGCATAATATCGTCGTTCATAGGATGGTTGGTTATACATGGGAAATCGTTTTTATAATATCAGTTATCTGGAACAGGAAGCCTATGTATATATAATAATAATTGTGTAGACAGGCAGCCAGTGTGTGTGTTTATACACATTAGGCTTACACTGAGGTCCCCCCCAACCCCCATCCTAAGGTCGAACTACTCAATTTCTTTCTTTATTATGCACCCCATACCCATCCTAAGGTCGAACTACTGACTCATCAGGATGTAATCCCCCTTAAACAGTTGCTTAACACCAGGGTACATATTTACTACTAGGTGAACAGGTACATTATATAAAAGGAAACGTGCCCAACTAGTTCTGCTCCAACCAGGAATCGATCCCGGGATCCCCGATTGTGGGGGATCGCGTCCTAACCTGTCTATCGTCAACCTGACCCTCGCCTTCAAGTGATCCCCATCTTTAAATTGATTTATCTGGTAAGATAATTATATGTGGCTTTGATGGATTTAGTGGGTCTGTTTTGAAATTAATGGGCTTAATTAATGCATTTAATGGGTATATATATTTTATGGTATATTTAATGGTATAAACCATATGATATACAAGTGGAATATTGTATGGTATAGTGATTAGTATTCTGGTACTGTGTAAATTTGATATCTGGTGAATTTGGCAGTGTCTGCAGTGGACGGGTACGTAGATTTGCGATTGATTTAATTTTACTTTAATGGATCCCATGGGGGATACAAATGTGGGGCGATTTGACGGTTTTGGAGTATATGAGGACTCATGAGGATGAATATGCCACGGCCTCGATGAGCAAGTCGGCGGCTTGACGCTGCCAGAGGTGAACTTAATGAGGTTGCTTCAGCACTTGGTAGTATTATGCAAAAGAGAGAGAGAGAGAGAGAGAGAGAGAGAGAGAGAGAGAGAGAGAGAGAGAGAGAGAGAGAGAGAGAGAGAGAGAGAGAGAGAGAGAGAGGGAGCGAGAGAGAAAGAGAGAGCGAGAGCAAGAGGAGGGGGCGGCGACTGAGCACTGAACATTCCGGGAGGCAAAATACGACCCCAAAAATGGAGGATTTCCTGACCTCGTGACGTTTACGGCCAACTGACGACCCGACCTCGAAACAACAACATAATAAAGTTTTCAGATACCAGGGAGGCTGAGGGGAAGCTCTTCTCCCTTCCCCTGTGTCAGGAGCCGTATATGGGGGCTTGGTGGGCCCAGGAGGAGCCGTAGGTGGGGGCTTGGTGGGGTCAGGAGGAGCCGTAGGTGGGGCCAGGAGGAGCCGCAGGTGGGGCCAAGAGGAGCCGTAGATGGGGGCTTGGTGGAGCCAGGAGGAGCCGTAGATGGGGGGCTTGGTGGGGTCATTAAGAGCTTCAGGCTTAGTATTACCAGAAGCTGAAGGAGTTGTCTTGGTGTGCCCAGAAGGAGCTGTAAGTTGGGAGGGGGTTGGCTTTGCGGGGCAAAAGTTCTTTAGGGCTTTGTTATGTCCTAAAGAACAATTGGGAGGGGGGGGGTTAGGAATGGATGTTGAGGGGGCGAAGGTGAATGTACTGAAGGTGGGCTAGGGGGTGGAAGTGGGTCGAAATCTTAGTAAATTCGTGTTGGCTCTTCAGCAGGTGCTCAAGACTAGAGGATCAGAGCCAACTTCACCCCTCAGTTTCGTTAATTTATTTCTCCAGATGCAACCCGGGAGAGATTTCTTCACTGTTTGTACAATCGTGAGTTCCATTTATATACGACGACCCTGACTGGGCTGAATCATTTGGTCTGTTCTGACGACAGATCCTTGCTAAGGTGTGGTCAATGGGAATGATGGATTTTGGATCAAGGGCTTTATTAAAGAAAAATTGCTTTTTGTTTTGGTCAAAAGTTCTTATAAACGAATTTGGCCAATGGCACTGGTGAAGGTTTTTTATGTGGCCTTGGTAGACGTTGTGGTTAGGGACATTATGTGACCTTGGTAGACGTTGTGGTTAGGGACATTATGTGACCTTGGTAGACGTTGTGGTTAGGGACATTATGTGACCTTGGTAGACGTTGTGGTTAGGGACATTATGTGACCTTGGTAGACGTTGTTAGGGACATTATGTGACCTTGGTAGACGTTGTTAGGGACATTATGTGACCTTGGTAGACGTTGTTAGGGACATTATGTGACCTTGGTAGACGTTGTTAGGGACATTATGTGACCTTGGTAGACGTTGTTAGGGACATTATGTGACCTTGGTAGACGTTGTTAGGGACATTATGTGACCTTGGTAGACGTTGTTAGGGACATTATGTGACCTTGGTAGACGTTGTTAGGGACATTATGTGGCCTTGGTAGACGTTGTTAGGGACATTATGTGGCCTTGGTAGACGTTGTTAGGGACATTATGTGACCTTGGTAGA